CGAATTGTTAAGTAAGTTTCCGTACCGTATTACTACTTGACAAGTACTTACAAAACCAATCAGTACAAATTGCCTTGTTGGAGATTTGTTGGTGTTACTCCTGTCGGGAAAAATTTTACTGTTGCAGTCGCATTTTTGCGCCATGAAAAATGAAGACCATTACACATGGGTGTTGCAAAAGCTGAAGAGACTTTTCCCCCCTCAGACTCTACCTAGTGCCATCGTGACGGATCGAGAGTTAGGGCTCATAAAGGCGCTAGAGAATGTATTTCCGACCGTACCTCATCTCTTATGTCTTTGGCACATTAACATGAATGTGGGGCGTCGTGCTTCAAGATGTCTCGGCAATAGTAGGCGTCGCGGCACGGCTTTTGTACTTGGTATGTGGCAAACTTTGGTAAAATCAGTGTCTGAAGAAGATTTCACCAGGAATTACACAGCTTTGATTGACGAGTACGCGAATTATCCAGATTTGATTGAGTATCTCCAATACACTTGGCTCGTATACAAAGAGAAATTTGTAAAAGCATGGACGGATCTAATTTTCCATTTGGGTAATACATCGACAAGCAGGTATTTATTTATAAGTGGTTAAATACATATACTTAACTTACTGTCATGTAGTTTATTGAAACATAGCATATTCTAAACATATTAGGGTGGAGAGCAACCATAGAGCATTGAAGAGATGGTTGGAATCGTCCACGGGTGGCTTCGACACATTTTGGGCACAGTATCACTCAATGATGAAAGATCAATTTAACGAGATACTAGCCGATTTTGCAAAATCAAAGAGGATTCGGGCCCAGACGATCAACGTGCCCGTATTTAAAATATTGTCCAGTGGAATTGTAACACACAATGCTCTGCAGATGTTGGACGATGAGAAGGATGAAGACATAGACGGTTGCGTCTGTTATATGAGGAAATGTCTTGGACTCCCATGCAGACATGAAATTCGTGCAAAGATGAATGCACGACGTGGTGTGTTTTATGCAGAGGATGTCCACATTTTTTGGAGGACATTTATTTCGGGATTCGGGGATTCCCTAGATGAAAGTGTTGGTTCTGTTCCCGGTCACAGGTCACTGGCTATTGGCAGGCTAGAAGGGTTAATGAATGATTTGCGTGAGCGGTCAGAAATTGAGATCACGGACGTGACAGAATGTCATTTTTGACGAATGCATCCCGGGGCCATGGAAATGAATCC